ATATAGGGGAAAAAACCACTTTTCGTAGAAATGGTATAGAGTTCTTGGAAATCAATATTTTTCGATCGGAGAACTCCGGTTCTCTTCAGGAGACTCCCATTAACAATACCTAATTGTTTATTTAACCATTTTTTAATGCTAAAGATTTTTTATTTGTCCCCCCCATTTCATTTTCTGGGGGTTTCGGCGGACCTATACAATATAGTTACAATGAAAAAAGGGTTAAAGCAACAATTGGGTATTATTGGGAATCTCCTGAATAGAAACAGAGTTTTTCGATAAAAATATATTAATTTTTGAATCTTTTATACCATTTCTATGAGAAGTTTTTTTCCCCCATATAAAATATGAGCGCTTTGAGCACTCCCTAATACTTTTTAATTTTATTTTTATTTTTTTTCAAAATAAAAAAATAGTACAATCCTAGGGGTGGCGGCATTAAAATTCCGACTTTACTTTTTCACGTGCATTTTTGGACCACTCTAATGTACATATGTACACACTCGTACCTAAGTGCATGAGTACATATGTATGTACGTAGATATGTAATAAATATTGTATTAAAGCCAAACAGAAACAACAACCAGAGACTATTATAATATCTGTTGCATCAACACTCATAATTACAACAATAACACACAATCGCATCAACAACAAGATCAAAATCATATTCAGAAAAAAACAAAACATCAAAACAATTGCAATAGCAAAAAACAAATAATGCAGATGCTAGCATTTACATACATACATACATATAGTATATCCACATATGCGCATTCCTTCAACAAAGTAAAACAACGCAATGCCAAGCCATGCAATCCAAAGTATGAGGTACTGCAATATTCTTGGTGCGCATAGCTTGTCTTAATTTAATGCATCGCCGCGACTGCTGCTGCTGCAACGCAACACTCGCAACAACACACAACGCTGGGGTGGCGACGCAACTGTAACTGCATATTTACATGCACACAAAAAATAACATACATATTTACACACATTCTTATGCACAATGTTTGCTATGCCACCGCCTATGGAGGAGTGTTGCAACATCTATATGGGCTGGCTGACTGTCTTCATTGCCTCCATTGCTCATCAGCATTGCAGCATTCAATTATTACTTCACGCTCGTAGAAAATAAATAAAAATAAAGCACAAAGCCGACAAACAACAACAAACAATTCCTACATATTATAATATTAATAATCAAGTGAAAATCTCGCAGCTGCATAGCGCAACTAACACAAGTGTGGCCGCCTGCTTGTCGCTGCTTCTTAACCGCCTGCCACCAATACGGAATGGCTGGC